TTGGGGTGTTTTACCACGTTACAAAGTCACAGCCACCTCAGTGGAAACTCTGGGGAGGAAACTTGGTCAGGCATACGAATTTTCATCGCTTATCATGGCACCATCGTGGAGAAACCGAGCTCACCAACCCTTCACTATCTCACTACTGTTTCCTTTCGATTTGCTACCCAGTGTCAGTTTGTTTTGATTTATCCGCTCTATATCTTAACACCTTAATGATCATGCTCATCCTATCCAACTTTACTTTGCAGAAACAGCCCAAATATCCATCCTCCTCGTCTCGCCATTCTTGCCCAGACACCTGTACGAGTGGGAGTTGCAGGAAAACGCCTGCTTTTTCTAATAGCTTTTGGCTTTCTGGCCAATTCAAACGACAGGTTGCAAATGCAAATGCATTTAAAACGCACACCCAACCGCAGTGAAAAGCAGAATACCACACACCCTATCTGCCGTCTGAGAGAACATAAGCTAAACACGTGATCCGAACATTGAAGTCAAGATCCCAGAGTTCAAAAACTATCACTTTCATATGTTCCCACTATCGACACTGGAAGGTGAGAAAGATACAGATTTCGGATTCAGATCTGTTGTTTGAGGATAGAAGGCTGTAATCATATACTACTCCCCTTGCAGCAGATTTCTGCGCTTGTCCAACCCCCTTTTGAACTAGTCAGTTGGTAATACGGACACCGCTTCCTCTGGGAGTCGGTTCCAGGCGTTGATTACTCGACGCCAGAACCAGTACTCTACGGAGACTATGTTTGTTTTTTGCTTTTGTGGTCTCCTACTATGTCCTGTGAGGTGTTTCGACCCAGTGGGAAGGAGAAGAGAAGATAAATCAGGTTCAAAGTCATTTCTTAGGATCCGGTATGCATGATTAGGTCTCCCCTCTGTCTGCGACAGGGCGAAGTCAAGGGGTTCAGCTCCCCAAGCCGATTTTAATAGAGCAGGCCAGTCATCGCATGGATCATGCGAGTGATGCCCTCTGGACTCTTTCTATAAGGTATGCGTCACCTTCCAGACAAGGAGTCGCCACCTGTGTACAGTTTTCTAATTAACACCTAAGTGGGGGTACGCGTAAGGTGGCGAACATATCACCACTTATTTTCATAAACGTTCTGTGTAATCCCCACAGTGTCCTAAAACTCCGAGCTGCTACCAATCAACAGTGAGCCGTGGTTTTCAAGTCATAACTCACTGTAACTTCCAAGCCATCGTGGGTTAGTACTGACAGTGCTGCTGTATGTGTGGCCCAAGTGCACACTCGCGCATTTACCGGCATTGATAGGCATCAACCACTTCTGTGACTAGGTAAACAAGCTGTTTAGGTCTGCCTGAAGCGCACATAAATCCTCATCGTTCCTAGTTTTCTGCCAGATTTTTACATCAGCTTGGAGAACCATAAGAAATTTCATGATATTTGGCAGATCATCTACTTATAGGAGAAACAACTGAGGGCCCGGGACTGTACCTTGCGATACTCTACTCTCCACCGAATCCCAAGAGGACAGTTGAGAATCGATCCTCACCCTTTGTCTCCTACCAATGAAAAACTCTCTTATCCATGCAGGCGGACTGCCAGTTATTCCAAAACTTTCCCTGTTTCCTGAGCAACCTGGAATGGGGTACCTTGTTAAACACTTAACTGGAGTTTACGAAAATGGTATTTAAAAGTATCCTATCACCTTTAGACTTAACACAACCTTTTCTGGCTGTAAGAAGTCTCGTCAAGCGATAGAAATTTCTACGAAAACCGTGCTGTGAACAAGACAATGGAGTGTTGCTCTCTAGTTGGACTGTGACGGCTTTCTTGACTACTCTTTCTTGGATTTTTACTGCAGTGCTGGTCAAACGTATCGGTCTGTAGTTCGATGGATGCTGCCTAGAACTTGCCTTGGGGATAGGTGTTAGTATGGCATCCTTCCAGCCACAGGGGAGTGTGCCCCCACTGAGAGATATCCTGAATATAGTAGTCAATGGGCCGGTCACATAGAGTGCAAGCTCTCTGAGCAGCGTTGGGTGCAGCTCATCCGGTCCCGTTGATTTTTCGACGTCGAGATTACCCAATATCCATAAAGCACCACTGCGACCGAGATCCACGTGGTTTTTCCGTTGAATGTCAATGCTTCTGCCGTTAAATAAGTGCCCACCAGAGGTTCCTGTGTAAAGACCTCAGCAAAATATCCAGCCATTACTTCTAGTCTTTCCCCATCAAACGGTCAGTTTCGGTCCTTTTGATTAGGGCAGGTATACCACGACACATCATATTCCTATACTTCATGTAGGAAACTGACCTCTTAGGGTGTTGCAATGTGGCCTGGGCGAGACGTTTTTCAAAGCGTACTCGAAACCGGCGGATAGCAGCGATAAATTCATTGCGGGCTTCTTTGTAATGCTTCACCACTTCGGGTGTACCGAGGGGGGCGGCAAGACTCCAACACCTCTTCTTACGTCGTAGCAAGGTTCGGACTTCGTGGTTTATCCACGGAGGACAGAGTTCCTGTCCCCTCGGGATAGTCCACGGACTGGACGGTTGAGTCACTCGTACATACAAATGTTTGAAGAATCGCAGCGCACCTTCGACTGAGGTTTCTGGATCGACTGCCCAGTCCTCCGAATAGGCTGCCAGGTTAATAGCTTCCACATTCGCTTCCCATATGTTGGGTCTGGCTGGGGCGTCGGCCTGGTGCGAGACGTCTGCTGTAAATCTGAAGATGACCACAGAGTGATCACTTCTACTAGGGGGTGTTAGGTTCCGGATGAAGCATGCATCATCTGTGTGTTAGTATACTGAGTCTAGAACTGATGGAGCATGCTGATGGTCACACCCGGCTGGTGTCCTTCAAACGTAGTGTTGTAGAATTGGTGGACGGCGGTTCCCTAGGCTTTACCTCCGTCTTATTGGAGTACATTCTAATGTGCTGTATGAGGGTTGAAGAGACTGATATTTCCACTAACCTGTGATGAAACGGGTTAAGTGGTGCTTTTGTTGTCAGTCTATCCTAATCAACTGATGGTGCGTTGGATTCTTCTACAGCTAGGCATCGGTACTTATCTATCCAGAAGATCAGCTTATTCAGGAGGGAGTCTGCTGCCTCACATTCAGGGCTTCGATATATTACGATTACATTAGCATCTTTTCCCTGACATTTTAGTCCACAGCGCAGCATTTCACATGTCCCACTTTCATGTGCAACCATTTCTATGGCCTTTATAGTTCAGGTATTTTTAACGTAAAGGATGACGTCACCACCTTTGCGTGATAACCTGTCACTTCTAAAGGGGACGAACCCTCGTTTGTTTCACAGTCACTGATCCCATAAGAGAACCAAGTTTCAGAACTTCCGTTGCTTATAACATTGCATAGCTCAGTTCACTTGTCTAAGAGACTACGTGCATTTGCGTACAAGCCGACGAACCTACTTAAATGAGTTTCCTTCCTATCCATGGAGGCTTTGGCGCCATTTGTTGCCCAAACCTCACTACACGAAAACCCACCACTTTCAGATCGTGCTCTCCTGCTGCTAACCTGAATTTTAGTCCTGCTTCTCCTTCTTGTTTTCGGTTCGATCAGTAAGAGGCAAATCCTTTCGCACGAACGCTATAGATCCTTGAAGTCTACGAGCTTCCTTCGGAATCTGATTCTTCACATCTGTTGACCTGAACGCGACTTTAAGTAGCCAAAACTTATTTTGAGTAACGACTGTTTCCTGGATTCCTACTTTATATATCTTGAGTAGGGTGACTCCTGGCATGTTTTCTGGTGAAAGCTGACTTATCAGACCTTTCACCTCGCCAAGGTCATGTTCAAGACGATTAAGTGGTTCTGGATCTCAGCTTTCTTTCACTCTGTGGGGGATTACGGACCTGCCAAGGGGTGCTACTTGGTCTCCGCCCTGTGAAATGATGACAGCTAGTTTGATGACCGTTATTGGTTTCTTGGCCTGCCGTTTAGACTTGGTTGCTTGCTGCTTTTCAGAGTCGGGTATGCAAGGTTTGCCAAAGCCTAGTCAAGTGACGGACTTGCATCCCATTCTGCTTAGTCCTCGCCAATGATTGGGTCTCCGAACTGAGTATGACGTGCGACCTGCCTGGTCCCGTGACTGGCGCTGAGGGTGCTTTACTCCCGTCCATTTCATCTGAAGTGGACTTAATCTTGCAGTCAGTAGTTTCCAGACTGGGTATGCCAGCCCTGGGGATACGAGAGCCAGAAGACACTCACTTAACCCTGCTTGGCGTAGTTTTTTCTAAGTCTCTGTCAGTAACCTGGTAGGGAGCCTACGAGTCTGACTTACAGCTTTCGTGGGGGGGGGGCGGGTTAATATTTTGCACAGCAATCTATGTGTCAGTGAATGCTGTGTCGTTATCACTGTCAGAGTTGTCGACTTCGACTTTCGGCGCTAATTTCCTGGTTATCGTATTTAGTAGTGCTTTTGCTTTTCCTACCAGAGCGCGAACATCTGAGCAGCACAGCATGCAAAGCCAGATACTCCCTGGGTTGCTGTACGTCTTATATGCTGAGGATATGAGGCTTGTGCATTTGTCGTGGAACCAACCCTTACATTAGCTAGGCTGCATACCACAGGCCACTGTGAAGTGGCACTCGGCCCTGCCGTAAGCAATTTTCATGGCACTTGGCTCAACATGTAGCAGAAACTACAGAAATCCACCCAGTAAAGTTCTTGTCCCACTTTAATTGAATAACATTCCGATGAGAGCGAAAATACAGCAGCCTTTGATGTGTAAACGCAAAAGATGCCAAGAATCTAGCTGGACGTGAAAAGTCACCCCCCCTTTTCAAACACCACACTGATGAAACATCCGGTAATAAGACAGTGGAATCCTTAAAAAACTACATTAAACAAGAAATTTCAATCCCTAAGCATTATTGTTATTTGTAGTAATGAATATGTAATCGGAAATCGTCTTTCCATCTTCAAGTGAAACGTTGGACTTAACCTTGTTTATAATAGTCAAAAAATCGTGCAGTGTAATTGGTCACAATTCAAACCAGTTTTTAGAATGCGTGATACTCCGAAAGAAAATAAGCAAAACCTATGGTAATACTTGATAATAACCTCTATTTCGAATTCTTTCGACCGCATTCCATATTCGTTTCATATATTTTGCATCCACAAACCACTGGTGGACCTTAATATATTATACATTTACTTATGTCATTTTTGCATTGTTTTCGCGATTTACCTCATTTTATAGTCTATGTGTTTTCTGCTTCATATGCCTTCATCTTCATAATAGACTGAATGTACACCAGCTTTTGAAACTCAGCTCCAGGTTTAATTGTTGGATCATTATTTCTATGTTTATGATATTTGTGAAATACAACTTTGGGCGACAAATCATTTGACTGGTGCGTAAATAAGATATCTAGTCAGCTGCTTGAATTAAATTTTCACTTTTGCGTAGAAATTTAGAGTTTTAATTGTGTTACTCAACGTAACTTCTATTTGAATGCTCATTCGTTACCCAGTGACCCATTATGCTAGACTAGCGGAGAATTGCTTTGACCAGATATGAGGTTTGTTGTCAATGGTTAATGTGTTATGAAATGAAACAGAACGTGTTCACGGCATCTGCAGTTATCTTGTAGGCTTTCTTCCTGTAGCTGTGCAGTCATTATTATATTTTATTACAGAGAATTATTCTAACTCTTGGGTCTGTGTAATTAAATACTTAATATATTAAAGTGCATAAGACTGACATTTTGAAGGAAAGCTTCACAGATATGTATCTTATTTCAATTTCTGGAGTATTTTCCCTCCAGTAACAACCTTTTAGGAATTGTTCTGATGCAAACTTGATAGACGCAGAGGCCAATCACTAATTATTCGGACTTGTTATATACCCACGAATACGAAACCAAGAAAGAACACAATATCGTAGTCGGATGGAATAGTATATTTTTGAGGTTGTGCCGAGATACCAATACGTTCCAACTAACTGGCTACAGGGTCGATTATGAGCAATGCAACGCAATATAACAGCATGCCAAACGGCGAGGATACTTGACGGGGTGCCTTCAGCTTACCCAATCCGGGAAAAATTTCAAGGTCAGCATCAATTTTGAAACTCGTCAAACTCTAGGCAATTGATTTTGGAGAAGCATGTGACGCTACAAGCCCATTAAACAGCTTGACATGATCCTCTACATAAAAGTTTTCAACAATTAATTAATTTTCATCTGGTTTTTAAAAAGTATTGATACCTACAAACAAAACTGTGTTTGCATACAGCGTGGTGGTTTAACTTAGACATACAACAATCATGAATATTAGAACAGGATGCCTCTTATTTGATAACTGCTGCTTTTTTGATTATATTAATAGTGTGGCTATTTCCCATAAATATGGTTGAAAATCTATTGAAAAACCACACAAAAGTAAAAAACAAACAAATCACGTACAATACTTTTATGCTTAAACGACTTACTATTCAGTAACCTGGTGTGAAATCTACTCGATGTTTATCTTACGTTTTGATATTGATATGTTTTCATTCCAAGTTCAGTTCCTCACTGTTTTTCTTTAAAATCACTATCAAGTTACTTAGTACACTAGTGGATACCGAATTATTCGATCCTTGCTAAAAAACCAGAAATTTTTGTTTTGTAGTTAAAAACTAAAAGTATAGAGATGTTAGACAATGCAAAAGGTTGATTTTCTTCTGTGTACTTCATTAGGCTTGTTAAAGTCCATTGAATTTCAGTCAAAGTATGTTCTATGGATTATACTCTATTTGAGTAGGTCAGTGTATCACTATAACTAAACACCATGCTATGCAATTATTCACTTTTATTTTATCATTTATATACAAATGTAGTTTATATCAAGGTTAGAAAGATAAACTTAAGTATTTACTGAGTTGACATACAGTTTACTTAATCTTTCCGAGGTGAATTTACTTTCTATATTTAAAGATTTACATCAGAAAAGCTCTTTATATGTAAAGGATTACCATGCAGAAATTAATTTCACCATGTTATATAGTGAATAGTAGAATATAGAGAAGACAGAGGTGATGAAGATACCGCACCAACAACGACAACAAACTCCAGTCACCATCAACGGGAGAAACTTAAAGGAAGTAACCTCCTTCACCTATCTAGGAAGCACTGTTTCAACTGCAGGCAGCACAGGCACAGACGAGGATGTCAAAGCCAGCCAGGATCGGAAAAGCAAGACAGGTGTTCATTAACCTGAAACCAGTATGGAGACCTTCTGCACTCAGCATGTGGAAGAAGGTCCGGATTTTGAACACCAACGTCAAGTCAGTGCTTCAGTATGGTTCAGAGACTTGGCGCGTTACGAAAGGGATTTCCAATAAACTACAGACATTCATCAACAACTGCTTACGCTCGCTACTGAAGATCAGATGGCCAAAAATGATAAGCAACAAGGAACTCTGGGAACGAACCAACCGAGAACCTATCACGCAGCAAATATGCATTGGAAGGAAGTGGAGATGGATTGCACTGGGCATGCAGTGAGAAGGCCGACTGGGGACATCACGCGCCAGGGCAGGCCGCCGAGTGTAACTGAGATGGGAAGCGACGAGTTGGACGTCCCAGCTGAGGGTGACACGGAGGAGATTGTGCGAGGAGGAAATGAGAGCTTGTGGGCAGTGGTGGAGCCAGGTTCAAAAGATTGTAGAGAACAGGGGTCACTGGAGACGTGCTACTGAAGCCCTATGTTCCACTAGGAACCCAAGGGACTAATAATAATAATGTTATATCCATAAGAATAGTCATACGATTATTTGATCTTTAATGGTAATGCACTCTTGTTACTATATGAAGCTCAAATGACTTTTGGTCATCATATCGTAAACTGTTCATTCGATGTTTTTTCCTTTCAAGTATTCAATGGGTTTTCTGTTGTTTCATTGTATTTTATCAGCAAAAATGAAAAATGCCTTTACATTGATATACACTTAAGCTTTTCTGAAGTTGTATAAGAATATTACACTTGTTATCCAACACTATGGGAGAAAATGCCTCTCATATCTAAACAACTATAAATTTCCTCTGAAATTATGTGTTGGGCATTTCAGGTAGTGTACCGGTTGTATTACTGTTATGTAAAGTTTGACCAACCCTACTTAAATTAATGTTCTCTAGTACCTGTATAACCAATACCTTACCTAACGTGTAAGTAATGATAACGAAACACAAATCAAAAAAGCTACTTTCACGAATATATTCGAAAAAGCAGTGTATTTAATTACAATAAATGTAATACTAATGGATAGGGGGAAAAGTTTACTCAACCTATCTGCCTAGTATGGCCAAACTACGGAATATGAGTATGTGTTTGGTAACCAGTACAGTATGGTGTTGAAATCTACTTGGATGCATGCTGGTTAAAACAAAACTTAAAGCACCTTAAGCAACCGGAGGCGAACTGGAGTTTTATCTGGTTAATTTAATGTAATCTATTTATTTTAACCCTGGTTATATTTTGGTGTCGGGGAGGCGCACTACACGCATATAGGTAGATATACTGATAGTGCATAGTTGTCACTAATCAATGTACAACTGAGGACATTAAAAACTCTCATACTGCTGCTCTAAACATATTTCTGGTATACATTTTCAACTTAAAAATAATCCAAATTAGTGTTAATTGGCAGACAAAAGTATTCTCATTAAACAGGATAGTCGAAATGAACATTGTCCGTATATTTGTATAATTTATCTCTGTTTTCTATTATGTTTCATTTTAATTTCTGTCATTTGACTCAGTAAAGTTGTTTTCATAGAGAGTGTAAACTAACTTGGTTGCCATGAAGTGTACATAAAAACTCTAAATTCAATTTTCATTTTTTCATATTATAAGGAAAAATATTCTTCTTGAGATGTTGATCATAAACTGATAGTCAGCCGTGCATAAATTAACGTAACGATGGAATATTAATCAACTTTTAGTATAGTGAACTGGAATAAAGTTCTTGTAAGCGATTTATCAAATTGTATGCGGCTGAATAAACTGACTGATCTTCAGACTTTTTAAATAGTTAGTGTACCTAACCTCACTAGAAGTTGGAATAACTGCTGTTATGTTCAACTCTAAGATTTAAAAGATTGATTCAATGTTATTACTATTTATTGACATACTTGTTATTCTCCGTTGTTTTTGTTGGATTGGATTGTTCGACATCTGTTGACATATGGGCTCTTATGCGGATACCTCGATATTCCCTGAATGTTAATTATGATAATTTGCTCCATTGTGGCTAGCAAAAGAATCCAGACTCATTGGCTGGATGTACCTGTACCCCAGTGACTGTTATTCCCATTGGAACTCGAACCTCGTACCCATCGCTCTAAACACCAAGGTGTTATCCACTATGCCCTGGATTCTTCTCGTAGCCACAACCAAGCAGATTATCATAATTAACATTCAGGCAACATCAAGGTATCTGGATATCCCAATAGACGTTGAACAATTCGATCCAACAAAAACAACAGAGAATAACAAGTATGCGAATAAATAGTAATAACCATCACCCAATGTAGAAGAAGTGGCTATCGTCCCTAGGTGTCATAGTGGATTAAGTGTCGGCACTTGAAGCGATGGGTACGGGGTTCGAGTCTCAATGAGGACAACATCACTGGGGTGCAGATACATCTAGCTGACGAGTCCCAAATAGGACGAAACGCACGTTCTGGATTCTTCTGCTAGCCACAACCAACCAAATTTTATTCTGAAAGGTATTTCGGGAATACTCTAGAGAATTTTCAGCATATCATATAACATTCAGTGGACAGAAACAATCAGTAGGTGTATACATAGCAGAAGGAAGTAAATAGAATAATAACTTTCTTCCAAATTCATAGTCAACTGACATAAACAGTCACATTATCAACTAGATTTGTAATGCATAAATAACAGGAAGCCATATAATCCCTAATTAGTTTGCTTTCAGAAACACAAGTAGATTAGTCAGCTCATTTCTCATACTTCCTTCCTCCCACAGAAGACAAGTTGAATACGCTATTGTAGAGATTTTATAGTTAGTAGCAAGAAGTACATGTCTAAGCTCTTATATACTTGCTCCTTGTCTTCCCAGATAACTGACACTCAGAGAGCTTTGAGTAAACACGATGCTAGTCATCTGACAAAGTAACTCCTGACACACGTCTACATAAGTTAATATGTTTGTTACATCACTAGTTCTGCCGACAGTCTTCTAAGTTCTACACAACATAGCATAGTCCTTTACAGGGGCACAATAGAAGAGAATCGGCAAGAAGTAGGAGTTGATAAGACATAAGAGAAGGGGCTGAGTTATACCAGATCTTCTCAGCATTCTAATATAGTGTTAGGTGGAAAATTCTTTGGGAAATAATTAAGATGTGGGGGGAGGGAGACTAGGAGAGGTTCTAAGAAAAACATACACCGAGATAAATGACACTTGTAACATTCTCTAGTGCACAACCATCAATAGAACACGAAGCATAGAACTCAGGCATTTTGCTTAAGTTACATTCACGTCTCAATTTTAAGTTCATGGGAAATGACGTGATTTCTGACTTATATCTTTCTTCCCTCTAAAACTGTACTTAACTTTCTGGTTCTTGCGTGTGCATGAATCCAGAACTGTCTACTCTAATCGCATTCTAAGCAAAATGATCATTATTGCCTCAAATACAGAGGCTACTATTAATCACCGATCACCCTTGAAGTGATATGTTTACTACCTTAGCGTTTTACTTAGTGCTAAGGTTCTCTTCTGGCTAATGTCTGGACATATGAGATATAGTATTATCACGCAACTGACTTACTGTTTCACTTTCCACTGGGGAAATGTTATGTACCCTGACGAAATGAACTTAACTGTATGTTGTAGGCAAAGATCGGATCTTTTGTTGTAAGATAAAGATCAGCTAATCGGATTATCCATTTTAGATAAAGCAACTGATTATATGACAGTATAGCCTTTATGTACCGTTTCACAATATTAATTATGTGAGATAGATACTGACTGGATGGGAATAACTGGTATGGTCCTGTTCTAAGTGTTCAAAGATTATTTCTGAAGAACTGAATTACTTATGGCGTCTAAGAATATCTATCATGTGGCATAAAAATTTCATTTTATCTTCATAAATTAAAATTTCCATCATTTCTTCAACTTTCATTAGTATTAGTATCCAAGATTTTTTACTCTTGTTTATCAGAGGGGATAAATTTTCCCTTGCGTTTTGATCACCTCTACAACCTTCCCACTTTTGTGTTAATCTTAAGTAGAAATGACATTCATTCGTGTATTAATATGGTGAGTAGATTGCTAGGGCATAGTTAAACGTTTGACCAAGTAATCGTTAATTTATGTATTTATTGTCTGGTGTGAAAACAAATCCTAATGTCCACATCGATCTAATTTGCTGCCGAAAAGAATAGGGTTGAAGTGAAATTGTAAAATATCTCTAGGTGTTATAGCTGACATACAGTGTCTATCGATAGGATTATCGATGGCTTCTCTGGACAGTGAATATCGATGCCTAGTTTTCAGTTAAAATACTGTACATAACAGAAACTGATGACTAAATCTCTTCCATGGATTTTGCCTGTGATCTGAGGAGTTTTCACCACTAATTTATAGATCCAGTAATCACAGCTTACTTAGTTAGGTAGGTAACACCTGGAACCTAATGTGTATTGATAGACCAACCAAACTCTAATATCAATAACATGATCAATAAGTTGGAAATGAAATGCTCAGTATTTAGCATAACACTAAAGTGATCAACTTTGTAAGTTAGCTAAAAGAACCTCTCGATAGAAAATTCGGTCACTGGTTGAAATACTGTTACTACAACCTTAGTTATCATCTCCATACAAAAGGATATGTATTTAGCAGAATAAGCACTGCTGTTTTTTTTAAAATTATTTTGCTACTCTTAATTACCTCCCAGGATTTCTCTACTCAATGAAGTGCAGTTGAATAGACGAAACGCTTATGGAACAGTTGAAAGTCCTGATAAACCACAATTAATCATTTTAGGCAGTGAATCGACTGGGAAAACACGTCTTGTTGGATGTATAAGTAAGGATAAAGATATGAATTGTGGTATTGGATTGGATTATCACTTTTTAAATCTTAATGAAGATGGAAGAGAAGGTGAGTTATCCAAGTGGTGGTTTTTTTTGTTGTTGGTTATCGATTACTCTATCACTTGAAATCAGTTTATCTTTACAAGTTAACTACTTAGAAGGAACTCTAGAGATTAAATGTTACTAAAAAACCGTTTAATTGGCAGTTCTGTCTTATTTATACCTTGAATATTGAATGTTCAAGTATCATAACAATTGTGTACAGATAGTGTTAGATAGATGAGACTCGACAAGATGACACATTTTTTGCCATCGTTCTATATAGTTCGATTATTTCATTCGGGTACTCATACGGTAAGCCTTTACGCTTCATTTTTACTTTATACAACATGATTTGACTGCCTGAGATAGTCATAGTTTATTATTTGTACTGGATGATAATTGAAGGTGAAATGAAAATCTGGATCGTAGCCGGAAAAAATTCAAGCAGTAAACTAGTATCATTTCTCTAATAAAGTAGATACTAGTGGTTCCATTCAGAGATCAAGCTAGGTTATTCCTATCTTATAAAATTTGGAGACAATTTGTAATACACCTTCTTGGTACAACAATGCTACCTAGGGAGAAAATAAGTAGATTATATTAAATTAATTGAATAATCTTCCAGCTTACTTCTAGATGCTTAAACTCTTTTAAATTTCGTTTTAATGAATATACATCCGACCAGACTTTGAAGCCAACTGTACTGTACGTTGTGCTGATTAACATGCACATTCTCAGAGTCCCTAGTTCAGCCTTACTAGTCAGATAAGTTGGATAAACATTCTCCCCAAATAATTACTATCACATTTATTAGATATATTACTCCTCTGAATATATTCGTGAATGGTAGTTCTTTTGATCTGCCTTTCATTATCAGTACTTACACGTTAGGTAAGGTAGTGATTAAGGAGGTACTAGAGCATATGAACTACAGTAGGGTTGGTTAAGCATTATATAATAGTAAGACATTCATTACCCTTGCAAATTGATTAAATTTTCAAGTTTCATTCAGCTTATCACATCCTGCCAACATTATTGAACGTCACTTGTTGTCTCTTAGGGAAATACAACAGCCAGATGATAACATGTGTCATTTACTGGCTCTACATGGATAATCTATCAAATGCCAGAATATTCTCTACATCAGACTATGTAAAATGTCCAAATAAGACCAATCATCAAGGTGTATTAAAGTGTTTGCAAACAGCAAAGGTGCTGGCATTGATATCGTATACAGTCTAGGATGCACATAGCTGAGAAAATTAATATAGAGAAGAAATATTTCCTTAGCAATTAAAATTCACTAACTAAATTCGATCAACCATGGAAAATATTTTAATCCAACGCTTCACCAGGAAGCAATAGTAGTAAAAGTGTGAGTAACGGCAGAAACAGTGGTAGTAATAGTAGTGTGAGTAGTAGTAGTAGAAGTAGTAGCAGTAATAGTAGTAGTAGTGGTGTGAGTGGCAGTAGTAGCATTGTGAGCAGTATTATTATTGTTGTCATTAGTAGTAGTACTAGTAGTAGTGTAAATAGTAGTAGTAGTAGTAGTAGTAGTAGTAGTAGTAGTAGTAGTAGTAGTAGTAGTAGTAGTAGTAGTAGTAATAGTAGGAGTAGGAGTAGGAGTAGGAGTAGGAGTAGGAGTAGGAGTAGGAGTAGTAGTAGTAGTAGTATGAGTAGTAGTAGGAGTAGTAGGAGTAGTAGTAGGAGTAGGAGTAGTTGCATTGTAGTCTTTACTCACTTTACTTCACATATATCCACCTTGTAATCAATTTTTAGATACTCTGAATATGGGTGTATGGTGTTTAGATGGTGATCCACAATTGAGTAATCTATTGAAATTCGCTTTGAATGAATCAAATATTTGGCATACAATGGGAATAATCTGTGTTAATTATGCTGAACCATGGTCTATACTGAATGATTTAGAATTATGGTTACAAATTCTTGAACAGCATATTAATCATTTGAAAATTACTTCAGAAGAAATAGAGAATTTAAAGTCAAGTAGTAAGTTCAACTGTTTACAAATAATTTTCTTTCAATCTTATCATTATACCACTTTTATAACTTGTTGTTAGTACATTATATAAGGATAGAGGAATATAAATAAGCAATTTTGTGTAATAGATACATTAGTATTATCTCTAATCATTACACTAAACAGTAAAACATACAATCTCAAAATTACAAAACATGTTCGACTATGGCAACACATATATGTGAAACTTGAGTTTTACAACTTCTATCTCAATGCTTATTTACATTGATCAGTTAATTTCAGGCGTCAAATACTATCAGTTGAAGGAATATTGAAATTCTGGCAGCAATGGACAGCTATTTTGTTTCACTACTATGGAGCTCCTCAGCAGTGCACATCCATGACCTTACCAGTGATGAAACCTAGGACCTTCAGGTTCCATCGTCAGCACTCTACCATTTTTAATGTATACCACAGAAAATGTCAAGATTCATTAGATTATCCTGAAAGTATTGTGGATTATTGGTTGCTTTCCAATGAATATTTTTCAACTGAGGAAAAATACAAGCGAGGGGAGCGGTGGTGGGGGGTTAATCATTGTATCAACATGAACCCAGATCACATTCATACGACTTTGGATTCATCAGCTGGATGTAAACACCTATCAGTCAGTGATGTTGCCCTACTTACGACTCTAACCCACAACCAATCAATCCAAACACATAGCGTTGTCATCTAGGTATATTATTATTATTTGTGCCTTAGGTTCCTAGTGGAACACAAGGCTTCAGTAGCAAGCCTCCATTGCACTCCGTTCTCTGTAGTCTTTTGAACCCCACGCCACGACTGCCCATAAGCTTTCATTTCTCCCTCATATGATATCCTCCATGTCACTCTCGCCTCGGACGCCCAACTCGTCGTTTCCCCTTTGGATTCCACTCGATGGCCTGGACTGGCGTGCGAACAATATACCAGCAATGACTTGACATTGGTGTTGGAAATCCGGATCTTGTTCTTTGTACTGAGTGCAGTAGATCTCCAGACTGGTTTCAGGTTAGTGAAAGCCTGTCTTTGTGTCTTTCCGATCCTGGTTTCGAAACCCTCTTCTGTGCCGCCTGTAGTTGAAATTATACTACCTGCCTAGGTAGGTAGATAGGTGAAAGGGACTACTTCGTTTAGATTTCTTCCGTTGATGGTGACTGGTTCTTGTTGTTGATGCTGTTGTTGGTTGGGTATCTTCATCACCAATGTCTTCTCTACATTCACTTGAAGTCCCATCTTCGCTGCCTCGCCTCTTCTGTCAACTTGTTAGTTTTCGCCTTTATATCTTAAATTTTGTGTTACAAGATATCAGAAAAAAATCATCATCGGCGGCAAAATCCAAATCTCCTTGTGCCGTCTTTTCATCGTCACAACCAAAGTACGCCCATCTTGTCGCTCCTCACTGTTTGCTGCATGATCCAGTCCACTACAATCAGGAATATCATGGGTGATAGTATGCAGCCTTGTTTTACTCCCGTCTTCACTTCAAAAGCATCACTGAGCTTCCCATTGTGAATTACGTGGCATGTGGCGTTTTCATATAACTGTTGAATGAGCTTGATAAAGATTTGTTGCACTGAAACCGTAGTGTTGAAGCAGCTGTTAAATTACTCCTCACTTGACGTTATCGAAGGCCATTTCAAAGTCGATGAAGTCGAGGTAGAAAGTTGACTGCCATTCTATACTCTGTTCTATGATGATGCATAGCGTTGCAATTTGATCCACATATGATTTGTTCTTCCTGAATACATCTTGTTCCGGTCTTAATTTTGGATCCAGCGCATCGTTTAGTCTCTCCAGGATGATGTGGCTTAATATTTTGCTTGGGGTGGACAAAAGTGGAACATGATTCCTCGCCAGTTCTTGCAAAGACTTAGGTCTCCCTTCTTCGGGAGTTTGAAATAGTAGCCCTTCTCCCAATCTGCAGATACCTTTCCTTCCTTTCAAACCTGAAACAGTCATGTGAGCATGTCCACTGTTGTCTCTGCGCCTGTCCTCAGTGCTTCTGGCGGGATCCCATCTGGTCCTGCTCCTTTCCCACATTTCAGTAGCTTTATGGCATTCAAGACTTCGACTTTCGTTGGAGGGCTTGTGTTCACTTGTAGTTCTGTGACTGCAGGTGGTATTTCTGGACGAAGTGCAGGTGGTGGTCGATTCAAGAGTTTCTTGAAGTGGTCAGGCCATTGTTTCCTTTGCTTCTCCTCTTTGGTAACTAGTTTTCATTCAGTATCTTTCATTGGTTTCGTCCGCGTTGATCTCTTCCCGGATAGTAACCTGGTTGTTTGATATGGTGTTGTCAGGTCTCTGCTACCAGCAGCCTGTTCTGCTTCACTTGCCAATGTGTTGTAGAAGTGTCTTTTGTCTTTCCGTGCACTCTTCTTTACTTCTTTGTCCAGTGTAGAGATTTATAGGTTGTATTCAGTCCCTCTTTTCGTTGTTCATCCAGGCACTTGATTATCTTCTGCTTCTTCACCATCTTCCTCTCCCAGTTCTATCAGCTTCCATGTTTCTGTCGAGATCCATTCCTTGTCTTGTTTCCTCTTCCTTCCTAATACTGTTGTGCAGGTTTCTTTCCATATAGCTTTCAGAGAGTTCCAGTGTTTTTCCATGGGCGGTATCTTCAGGGATATTGCTCAATGTCTCCTATTTTGTCATCGTGACTGAATTGAAGATGTCCCTGGTAGTTTCGTCCTTCAGTTCAGTTTCCGTTCTGGGTGTTGAACTTGAACTGTGGTCTATCACCAACTTCTTTTGAATGCTTTCAGCTTGAATTGGAAGGTTCCTTGCACTATATGGTGAGTGGTCTGAGCCTACATCTGCTCCTCTTCTTGACCTTGTGTCAAGTAGGCTGCGTCTCCTTTTTCTTCACAATAAGATGAAGTCAATATGATTTTTTAATGTGTCCTGGTGTCTGGTGAAATCCATGTCGCTCGCTTTGTGGATATCCTTGTGCTTGAACACACTGCCTCACTCCAATCACCAAATCGTTGAATGCACAGAATTCTGCAAAAAGTTCACCGTTCTTGTTCATTTCACCTAGTTCTTCTCGACCCATGGTTAGTTCTCTTCCTCTGTTGTCCTCTCTCAGTTTAGCTGGCATTCATGTCATCCCACCCATTAGAATGAATCTTGATATCGCCACTTGATGTGGGGTCTTGTCCAGTGTTGATTGAAGCTGTCTGTAGAATTCCTCCTTCTTCTCTTCATGTTCATTATTTGTAGGTGCGTTGCATTGAATGATTGTGACTTTCTTTCTATTTGAGTTGAGCTTTGTTGTCATGATGCTGATCCTGCATGGGGAGATTATTATTATTATTATTATTATTATTAGCATAAAACTTGGGCACTGTGGCACAATATAATTCCATAATTGGATTTGTTTATTTGATACATAACACACAGTATGATAAAATAGTATTCACTGGATGATCATGTTTCGAGCACCACTTGGTATCGCTCACAATTATATCCAATGTGTAATGATATTACTTTCAACAATCGATTTTTACACTCCTATCAACTTCCATTGGCAGTAAAATATCCTATATCTCTGGTAAATTGGACTTAAGTACAGTGGTTTCATACCATCCACCTTATTGTGTGGTCCCCTTTTAATGGATGCTTTGCAATAGATGAGTATTTTTCTAGATTGTTGTTCCTGTTAGGGGTCTTTCATTCTATATTTAGCTAAATTCCTGTTTCCCTAATCTAACTGACCCCTACCGACCAGTTTCATCTATGTACTTGACCTCACAGTCATTACATGAAATTTAATAGATTAGATTATATTGTTTAAGTGGTCCTTTCGGATCCTTCAGTCAGCCGACAAAGCTTATCTCTGAGTGTGTTTGTAGGTTTGAATGCCACCCTGATCCCAACCTTGTTGAGGATCCTTACTAAGGTTTGTGATGTCGCATCCTTATAGTGTAACACAATGGAGACTTTGAACATTTCTACTCGTCTTGTCGTTATTATCCATACTGGTGTTACTGTTATTGTTTCGTTTGTTATGTATTCGTACGAATTTGTGAATGAATTGTAGAGGATAATTATGAACCATTAGTGCTTTTTTAATGTGTTTTAGCTCCTTGTTTAGGTCTTTGCACTGACTGGTGGGTTTTATAGTTCTATCATTTAGACATTTGACTAAACCTGCCTTAACTGACTGATATTGGATGAGATGATATGAAGTGTAGACACCTGTTGGGATATGTCGGTTTCCTGTTTTATCTTTTAATCCAAACATCGGTAGCTCTCTTTGTTCATTTTCTACCTCGTAGGTGAGTTGGATTGCGCCAACTACTCAGTTTATACATGTGAGGAAATTGTCGACATTCTCCTATTTCAACACAGTAAATGTGTCATCCACATATCGCCACCACATTATGTTTTTGCAACCATCCATAAATATATCTGCTACGATTGGGGATATTGGTGATCCGCATTGCTACTCGTTCTGTTTGTTTGTGTATTTTTTCCTGAAAGTTGAAGACTGTTGAGGTTGGGCACAACTGTATGCCTAATACGATTTCATCAAGCAATATGTTAGTTCTGTGAGTAAGTTGTGAGTCACTAGTTAGAGTTGCCTTCTGACTACCTTCAGTGTCGTACTGATTGGTGTTCGAATACAGTGATTGGTTACATCGAAACTGATCATCACTTTTTGCATCCTCTTATCTATGTAGGTGATTAAATCTTGATTTTAAACACCACTGTACTCATGTCCAGTATAATTAGATGGAGAGAAAGATTGATTACTGAATGTTTGTTCACCAAACCAACCAACACCTAACACATGGCCTAGGAATGACGCAACATTTTTATTAGGGATATGAAAAATCTCACTGACAATAAAAACAAAGAGTCTGAAGTGATAAGACTATAAAAATTAAATAGTGGAAGTGGTTTGGTTTGATCATGAGCAATAATAACTTATGCTTAAGACGTCATCATCAAGTAAATAATACTAGATCACTCACTGTGAGTT